TCAGATTTCTCTGAACTCTTTCAGCTCGTCCTCAGAGTCACACACATCTGATAGACTGAGCAGAGTCATTTAACGCTTGAAGGATACAGACAGCTCCTTTAAACAGCAAACCTCTTCAGGGACACACACACACACACACACACGTATACAAGCATATGAGTATGAAGTGTCCCAAAATCTCCCTCTTTGCATTTTAATGGAAATGCATTTTTGATAAACTCAACATGAAATGGTTTGCAACCCATTTTAGGTTTCAGATGACTAAAAAAAATAGTTTGACTTGACAATAAGGTTCATAGTCTACATGATCTAATAATGAACTGCACTTATACAGCATGTGCTTATCTTTGTTAATGTTAATTTCAACATTTAATAATACTTTATTTAAATCTTGTCAACATTAGTTAATGCACAATGAACAAACAATGAACAGCTGTATTTTTATTAACGTTAACAAAGATTAACAAATACAGTAGCATGTATTGCTCATGGATAGTTCGTGTTAGTTAATACATAGGCCTAACTAATGTCTAAAAAATTACCTTATTGTACAAAAAAAAAAAATCTCTTTTTTATTTGTAATAATATGCACTGCATGTTGAGCCGTTCACACTCCAATTATTCAGTATTCAAGGTCAAAGTTTATTTCTATAGCACCTTTTAACAACACGAATGTTGACCAAAGCTTCACAGATACATCAAAAGTACACATACGTACTAAGCAATAAGGAAGTCCGCTTCGCGTCGTGTCTAACAACGCCCTTCAGCTGTTACTTATTCACGATACAGCACTTGCCTCGAGAACCTTGTTGCTTTTATAAAACGGTTACCACACAATAAAAATATTAAAGTAAAAAAAATATGTATTAGCGCAACTTTCATGAAGTAAAATCACTAAAAGCCTTCCTTCCGCTAGAAAAAAAATAGTCCCTGACCGTGAACAGCAACAACGTTCCAATGTGTAATATATGCATGAAAGCTCAAATAAAAACAATTGCATTGTTGCGCAGTGATAAATAGAGCCGTTGGGTGAAGCGGTCATAGCCGTGTTTTATTATCACGAATAAAGCACAGCTATTGACCAATCAGAATCAAGGATTGGAACTAACCGTTTTATAAACTTAAAGGGATAGTTCACTTTGAAATTTTATTTTTGGTATGTTTTAGCTTACCTCAAGGGCATCCAAGATGTAGGTGTCTTTGTTTCCACAGTAGTTTCAATTTTGATATTTTTAGGTCAAACCGATCTCTCACGCGTGTACGTCACTCTTTTTCACTTAATTTTTTTTAAATTGTTTTCTTTTATGACGGTCTAAACATCCCGGATAAGCGCAAATTAGTACCATTTTAATTAGCCGTCTTACCTACAATCTCTGTTCTGTGTAAACAATGAGTGACGTACACGCGCGAGAGATCACTTCCGGCACTTGCGCAGACCGAAGCGCCGGCGCCCTCAGATCACTTGGACGTGGCTGTGTTTACAAGAGGTAAAAACGATATAAATACTGTTCGTTTTCTCACACAAACCGCTCGTTTCGTGTCTTAGGCCATCAATGTGTACTTACATTTACGAGTCATTAAATCATGTTTAATTTGGACTTCTCTGGTCATGCTCTTTGAGGTGGTGACCATAGACCTGCATTATATGACTGACAGACAAGAACGGCTTGACCTAAAAATATCAAAATTGAAACTACTGCGGAAACAAAGACACCTACATCTTGGATGCTCTTGAGGTAAGCTAAAACATATCAAAAATTAATTTCAAAGTGAACTATCCCTTTAAGTAGAGCATATAAAAAAAATATATATATATATTAAGAAGGTAAAGAGTCATGTTGATGTTAGGCGATTCCTCTGTTGTTAATCTGGCTCTGAGAGGTGGTCGTGGGCGGATGTCAAAGGTCATCCTCCTCTTCCTCAGCTTTACTCTATCAGACGGCTGTAATCTGCTGATCTGAGCTTCAGAAGAGACGGATCAGCCGTGATCGAACCCTGACAGCGCCTGAAATACTGTGACACGCACACCAGCTATAATCTGTGTGTGTGTGTGTGTGTGTGTGTGGCCGTTTCCCAGCAGGGTTGTGCACCATTCAAAACACAATTGAAGATGCGTTTTAAATTCTGATTCAGTTCATGAAGTTGCGAACCGGATCCTGAATCCTCATTTGAAATCAAGAAAGCAGGGAATTAACATGTTGTCAAACACAACCAGTTAAGTATTTCCAGAAATAGTCAATTAAATTAAATGCACAAATTAATTTGTTTGTTAGTTAGTTTGTTTGTGTATTATAATAATATTTCATTTAAAAATTAAGTTAAATATATAAATGTATTTATTTTTAAATACACGATTGTGTTTATTTATTTAAATAATTAAAATAATAATATTGAATCTAATTTAAAAATTAAGTTAAATATACAAATGTATTCATTTTAAATATACAATTGTATTTTATTTATTTAAATAATTAGAATAATTTTTAATTACATTTAATATAAAAATGTAGGTATTATACGTTCTTAATATTTTTGTTATTGTTGTTGTTAGTGTAATAATAATTATTATTAATTTAATTCATTTTAAGTTGTTGTTGTTGATTAAAAAAAATAACAACAACAAGAATAATTGAAATGGCTCCTATACACATTTGTGTTTAAATTATGAAATAAAATATAGAGCAACAAAATATTTCGTAATAATCTCTAAATAACCTTTGTTTTATGGAATGTTGTGGCAACAAATGTTACGTCATTGTTATGTCATTAGGCTATATTACATCATCAACAGATTCATATTATTATTATTGTTGATATATAGGTTCTAAAAACATTTTGGCGCTGTTTGTCAAAATGTAAAGGTTTTGATTGGTTAACTTTGTATATTTAGGCATGATTAATGATTGAATTGAATTTTTGCTTGTGTTTGAAAAATGAAACTCCTCTTGTATGACTGTGTTGAATTTCTTTGTCTTGCAATTCAGTAAATTCCAATCCAATTTCAAATTCGAATTTAACATCCGGTTTGGCCGATTCACTTCAGATTCACACTCGCGCGCGTGTAACATCCGGGTTAAAGCTCGCGTGAGGTAACTGTTCTCGGGAGCGAGTGCCGTCTACACGTGACTTTCGCCGAATCTCGTCTGTTATGACGGAGTGTTCTTTTCTGCGCTGATTGCTTTACTCTGAACCTCATTGAGATAAGAGGACAGTAAACCGACATTTGTTCCTGCAGAGGATCAAAACGATTGAACACGGGAGACTTTGAGCCAGAAGTCGTTCTCGCAATCAAATCCTATTGACTCTCCTCCCTCTAAAAACAGAACAAGGAGATAAACGAGAGAGAGAGAGAGATTACAGGAGCGAGCCATTACCGAGAGCGTGTTTATCTCCGCTTCCTGGTAGTGTGTGTGTGTGTGTAATCATTGGCCAGGATTTATCAGTAACCCCTCACGTTAGTCTCCGTCTCTTGTGTTGAACACACTCTGGACTTTGACCAGATCAATGTCTCGAAACGCTTGTGTTGTTGAGTTTAGCTAGTGCAACTTTTACTTTCTCAGTTTCTTGGCCGAACCCTCACTTTTGAATGATGTACCATGAAGAACAAAAGTTAAACGGCTGTAATTTAAGTCTGTTTCCCCGGATTATTGTCCTGCTGCCATATGTTTTCTTCAACTTCTCAGCTTCCTTGAAAAACTAATGCAATGCGTCTAGGCCTTCTTCTGTTTTCATTTTTAAGTCTAGTGTTACTCTTGCATCTTAAACCTCCACCATGAGACAAAACAAAACAAAACAGGCTTCCCACAATGCAACTGGCTACAAAAACACAGTGAGCTCCACTTTTTTATCTTGAGTTTTTGTTTTTGTTTCATGCATTGAAGTCCTCTGTTCTTCTCTCCAGTCTTGGGAATTTTAATTAACACCATTATGTCAAACTGTCACTAGTTAGCATGTGGATTGTGGACATACTGAATTTAGCTCTATATTAAACAAGAGTTTGTGGTATATGAATACGAATATATATATATATTCGTGCTGTGCAATCGATTAATCACATCTAACATAAAAGTTTATATATATATATACACATACACATATATATTCAGAAATATATTATATAAACTCAAAGTTTTATGTTAGATGTGATTAATCACGATTAATTAATTTAACAGAACTGATAGGCCTATAGCCTATATATATATATAAATATATTTGATTGTATTATACATTTGTATATATAATAATATAATACAATTAATTTGTGTATATAAAAATATAATATTACATATATAATATAATAAAATGGCTGTCAACCAGTGTTATTTTAGTATCATTAATGTGCTATTATTTTTTTTTGAAATATTTATATAATTTTTTGAAAAGGTTTTTTGGTATATTTTCTGCTTTCATTTTAATTTTAAAACAAAAACATATTTTTGGTTTTAGATTTTTTTTTAAATTATTATTAGTTTATATTATATTATAGTTTAAATTTTTTTGATTTCCATTTTAGTTTTTCCCTTTTCTGTACATTAAGTACAGTTTTTACTTAATTGTACTAACATTGTACAATTTTTTTTTTTGATTTTAGTACATCTAAAAAATTAAAGAAACTTTCAAATGTAGGCTATCTAACTGAATTAAATAAGTTTTTCTTTTAAGTTTTTAGTTTTAAATTGTTTTAAGTTTATTAAAAAATATATTTTATTTCAATTACTGTTTATTTTATTTTTAGTAACAAAAATGTTTTAGTTTTAGTTAACAATGCTGCCGTAAACAAACGAACTCTGTAAACAGACGTAATATGAGTGACATCCATATTAATCTGCAGTGTGGATGTATTTAACTCTGCACTTCGTAAGTTCAACGTCTTTACTTTATCCAGAAAAATTTGGGCAAACACGCAGCCGAAGTCTGTTGTGAAAACTGTACGAGTTGCTCTCAGTGGGACACGCGGTGATATGATGAAATGGTTTCCACAGATCTGTTTTCTTTTCCAGCGGGGATGCTTATCTGTAATGGAGAGTGAGATATGGCTGGAGTCCCGCTGAGCACAAACTCACATTACAGGAGCAAAGCAGCGTGGGAAACCTGGGGTTAAGCGTTGCACAATGCATCGTGGGACATCCATCTGTTGTGTCAACTCGCCCCAACGGTATACACTGTAGGCCAAAACATTTACATTGAGAAAAATATGACATGATTAAACATGTCAATGTAATAATAGTTGGCTTCAGACTTGATTCAGCCACATTTAACATTTGCAATGACTTTGCATTTTCTGCTTTGAAAATATACAATGGAATGAGGATCGCAATCACGTCAGGGAACGTCTCGTTTTTTAGGTTTTGTTACAACCTGTTTACATTGGCAATACATAAAGCGATTAATACATGACAATTCTTACATATAGCTTTAAATTTATGAATTTATGTTTAGGTTTGGATTAGTTTCCTAACACATTATATGGCATTGCAGAATTTTAAAGTCCCCCTGTGGTGAAAATCCAGCTGTAATGTTGTTTATGTGTCTATGTTGTGTTTTTAATATGCTTTAAGACAAACCATGTGTAAATTCATAAGTCGACAGCATTGCTGAGTATTTTCTCCTTAAAACTGCAGTGAACCAAAGACAGTCTCAAAAACACGGTTTGAAATCGCTGGTGTTTCTGACGTCACAAACGACCTTGTAACCAATCAGATCAACGTGTGATCGTCAACCAGTGGATCTCTGAGCTGAGTGAGTGAGTGGAGGCGGGGCTCATTTGCATATTCATAGAACCGCGCATACTAAATGAGGCAAGGGTGTCGAGTTACATTCAAGATATTTTAAGGCATGAAGAAAAAGGAAAAAACTTTAAATATATAATTTTGGTGATCAAAGATGAGTTTTAAGGGATAAAATAATTGACTACAGGGAGATTTTAAATTTATTCCAACTTTGAGCATTTGATGTGTCTTAGGGCCAAATTAATTTTCAAAGTCAAGGTTCACAAGTGACTGATTCTGCTGAAAGCAGAGCGAATTACATATTCATCAGAGAAGCCGGTTTCAGTTGGTTTGGTTTTCATGCCCAGCAGAAGTCAACATGTGGATTAATGATGTACACTCGATGGAGGCTCCCATTAGACAAATAATAGCTCTAGTGTGTAGTATGCAGACAAAGAAGTGATCTCACCATTTATATTTCTTATGCTAAACAATTCCTCGGTACAGGGCCGCATTAATTTAATTTGATCATATGATTGGGACAAATATGTGATCTTAAATTTGAATCTTAAACTACATACAGTATGTGCATTTACGAAGCCAAATCAGAACCTTTTAAGGCCCAAAACATATTTCACAAGCACTTCAACACATGATTCTAGCTACGCAATATACATTTTTGAAAATGTTTTGAAATGTAAACACATTCTTCAACAATAGCATGAGTTAGAAGAGAATTTTGCTGAGTTAGTTACACTAAAAAAAAATTGGTGTAATATTTACTTTGAAACAATTGCTAAATTTCACAAATATTTACAAAGAAATGGCAAGTAACACATTGAATTAAACATGAAATATTGAAGTAAGAAAGTCTTACTCAGTATTTGAAAAGTACACATTTATTTGAAAAGCAAAATACCCCCCTCTCCCCAAGTTGCGCTTTTCTCAATACTCATAAAAAAATGTCTTCTGATAAATGTATCAAAATTAAGTGAGTTTATGCTTACAAAAAAAAAAAAAAAAAATCTGCCAATTGGGTAAAAAAAAAAGAGAAAAAAAAAGTTTATTTTTCCTCATTTTAGGTATAAATTCACTCAATTTTGATACATTTGTGATAAAACAAGACTTCTAATCTTATGTTATTTCGCGTCTCCAGTAACTGTATCCTGATTTAGGAATGATATTTACTGGCAAACAAGACAGAAATCCTGATGAAGTCTGCTAGTTTTTGCCCCAGTAGCAGAAGACTGTGTTTGTGTACGTGTGCATGCTGGCCGAAGTTGTGTTATTGCTTAACACCTAACCTTTGTTTTTCAGATAAGTGCCGCGCTGAATAAGTGCCAAACTGTTAAACAAGTCTGTCCGCATTTGTTGACACAACGCTTCTCTTGCCAGCACTTGCAGGTCACGTCCTCGGCTCACAGATTATCAGAGATTCGCATCTGAACTCGCTCTGTATCTTCCCGTCAGGACACCGGGGGCCAAACACAAACTCCTCTGACGCTCATGTAAGAAATACCATTACGTTGAAGTCATGTTGGCTGTTGTGTAACTCTGCAACTCACAGCGAAGACAGTGAGCGTCACAGCAGGTCATGAATGTGAAGCCGCTCACAGTTAACCCTTCGGCAGATTACTTATGTCACTTCGTTTCAATTGTGGCATCTACAAACTAATTGTGAGAATCCTTGACTGGCAGAAAGCTGCATTGCCCTTGTTTGCAGACTCTGTTTTTGACTTGTTGCCAATGTAGTTTGGTTCCATAACTGTGTCTTTGTTTAAAGTGAAACTAAATTAAATAGTTTGAGCATTTAACAAGATCAATATAACTCTTTTCTGAAGAAAAAAATGCTGAACTAATCTGGGTTGCTGGCTAATTTGAGAGTTTTGGACACTTAAAAATAGTTGCATCTAAATGAACTGGTTTATTCAAGTCCAAAATACATTTGTATGGGTTAAATCAGGTATAAATCAATATCTCTTTGAGATGACAATTGCTGTTACCAATTTTACAGTGTAATATGAACAAGCTAAAGACCAGCAAACCAGCTTAGGCTAGTTTAGCTTTGAGTTTTATTCTTAGAACCCACCAAAATAACTAGTTGGGAGACGCAGATGAAAGGCCACTTTAAAAATTGCCCATTTGATTTCCCAAATGTGCCTTTGTTTGAAATGAAACTAAATTATGTAGTTTATGATTAACCCATTAACAATATATATATATATCACTTCCTGCTGAAAGAAAGAATAAACCAGCCTTAGCTGGTTTTCTGGTCTCAATTTTCAGGTTTTAGAGTGGTTTTGGCCACTTTTTATCTGAGGAAGACCCATAAACCATCTTAGGCTGGATTAGGTTTGGGTTTCCAGCAGGTCTTGGCAAGAAACCCAACAAAATAACTAGAAACCAATGAAAGGCTTCTATATCCTGGTCTCCACATTCAGTTTTAACTTGTTGCCAAAGTGTTTGTTTGGTTTCCCAAATGTGCCTTTCTTTGGAATGAAGCTAAATTATGTCGTTTATAATTAACTCATTAAAAATATAAATCACTTCCTGCTGAAAGAAAGATTAAACCAGCCTTAGCTGGTTTTCTGGTCTCAGTTTGCTGGTTTTAGAGTGATTTTGGCCACTTTTTAGCTGGTCGCACTTGGGAGATCAGCTGAAGACTAGAAAACCATTTTAGGCTAGTGTACAATTGGGTTTCCAGCCGGTCTTGGCAAGAAACCCAACAAAATAACTAGAAACCAATGAAAGGCCTCTATAATCTGGTTTCCACATTCAGTTTTGACTTGTTGCCAAAGTGTTTGTTTGGTTTCCCAAATGTGCCTTTCTTTGAAATTAAACTAAATCATGTACATTAACAATATAAATCACTTCCTGCTGAAAGAAAGATTAAATCACTTCCTGCTGAAAGAAAGAATAAACCAGCCTTAGCTGGTTTTCTGGTCTCAGTTTTCTGGTTTTAGAGTGGTTTGGGCCACTTTTAATCTGAGGAAGACCCATAAACCATCTTAGGCTGGATTAGGTTTGGGTTTCCAGCGGGTCTTAGCAAGAAACCCAACAAAATAACTAGAAACCAATGAAAGGCCTCTATAACCTGGTTTCCACACTCAATTTTGACTTGTTGTCAAAGTGTTTGTTTGGTTTCCCAAATGTGCCTTTCCCAGTTTTTATCTGATGAAGAACCACAAACCATCCTAGGCTGGATTATGTTTGGGTTTTCCACCAAGAAGCTCAACAAAATAACTAGGAACCAAGCTTGTTTGCACACTCACTTTTGACTTGTTGCCAAAGCATTTGTTTGGTTTCACAACCGGCCCTTTGTTAGAAGCAAAACAATGTCACAGGTAACTTCCTGGTATGACCAAGACCAGTTGGTTGACTAAGAGTTTACAAAGGTGTGAGGACCAAAGGCGGTTAAAGGAGAGTGCTATGAGAACCAGCGTGTCAGTACATTCACACAAACGTCACGTTCTCAGAAGTGTTTGTCTCCTAGAAGCTTGTATATTTAGTCACGCCTGTTTTACGGTGGATTCCTGCGCGCTTAATCATCCAGTATACAGTGATTGGCAACAATACACACATTGCGTCCTTTAACCAGGTTAACTATTAACAGATAGCTCACCCGAGCACGGAAACGAAAAGCAGAAACACACACGCAGAGATACACATGAAGGGAAGTCTGAACACAGAAGGGTTTGACAGCTTTGAACACAAACCACCACTTCCCTCATGTCAGATGACTCTATCGTTAGCAGAACATTTGTCACGCTGTGGTTTTCTAACTGAGTTGTTTATTTTCTCTCCGTTTCTCGAGTTCCTGAGGTCGTAGTAAGACTGACACATGCCGTACCGAGAGAAGCACGTGGTGTCTGTCTCATCCAGACCTCAGAATCTGGTTTGCACGTGTTTGCGAACTACTAAGGAATCTTTGGCTCTGTTTCAAATCCTAGTGAGTCAGTGTTTTAAGTCATCACAAATCTAAGGCCCTTGATGCATTGAAGCACAATGACACCACAAAAGACAATGGACAATGCATGATAGATGAGACGACACATATTAAATAGGGGTGTAACAATATATTGTCTGTCACAATATATCGCAATACAAAAAGGCAACCATATGTTGCGTGGATAGTGACAATATGTATTGTGTAGTTCACCAAAAATGAAAATTACTGTGTGTTTTAGTGTCAGTACATTAAACTACTATATATAATGTTGGATTTGGTGTATAATAATGAAATGGGGGGATATTTGTGGGTCCTGATAATGCCAAATGTCTGATGTTACCAGTAAAATGTGGCCGACATTATTTTACATATATCTAGTCAGTGACAGCGCAAGCATATTCGTCTAAAATAATTCAGTATTTTCAGCTTCAGAATCATGAATATTGTTATTCTGGTGTCTGTATTGTCCTGTGCTTTGGGTTTCAGCACCAATTCCAA